AAGCAAACAAAAACATTCTGCATCTTTCCTCTGCTGATCTCCTGAGATAATGAAAACGGCTCTAAGGTGGAACTACGCAAACGATACTGATATGTCCTGAGCCACTAATGATTACAACTCTTCGGAAGGAAAAAGAAGTCCGTCGTGAGGAACGGAAAGGAACTCCATGGAGTCTGCAGCTATCCCTATCTGATAAAAAGAACACAACCAAAGTAACATTTAGGTTCGTTATCTTGGGGAGTCGCCTATGACAAACTCGAATCCTTACACTTATGCTGCAGGTCAGAGAAAGATGCACGGTAGTGCATTTCTTATAGCTTTTTTTCAAATCCTCTATCTCTTTGGCAATGAGACATATAATTTGATAATGTAGAGATAATTTTAATGGTAGTAAATAGTCGATGAATCTATAGCAGTTATAAAGCGTTCTGCAGAAGGCTATTTTCTGCATTTCCGCTAAAAATGTAAACACTTTAGATATCATTAGTCAAGCAGACATTACCAGTTGATATCACGTCAGCCAAAGACCATTGCGCTGCTGCCACATTGTTGGTAAACTGGTTTCTTGGCATCGAAGAGGAGGAAGAGGGTTCACAAGACGTTTATTACAGATTAAGCTATACCCCAAACCACTTGAAATGTTTTCCTTTTCTATTTTTATTTTATTTCACTGAATGACTTCTGCGCACTTATAACCCATCTTTGCAGGATAAACTGAAGAACACCAACACACCCCCAACAGAGGTGGCGACATCTCCTAGGGTTTGGTAAAGTAAGACGAACCCTAAATCATACGGGTAACAGGTGCAATTACCATATTCTTGTTCGGTGCAATTGCAAGAGGACCGGATTAATCCAGTTCGCACGCCCACTCTTGCTGGGAAGTCAACAGAGGAAGCAAACCAATTTTGCTATTTAGGCACCTGGCAGGGGCATCATGAGTGAAATGTCGCGTCGTAAACAGAAGGATCGATTGGTAGTTTCCAGTTTGAGACACTTATGGCACCACCGCGACACCCGACTTCCTGTTAAGGGCCGAGGGTATTTTGCACCAGTTCGCTCAGTGCAACCTTACGGTGCAGATACCCATCTACTACAGGAACGGGACAAATGCCGTGTCTATGCTACAGCACCGTTTTGCACGAGACGAGGAAAATAGAGAATCATTAGGTTGAGTTAGTCATGGTTGCTCACCGTAAATTGCGTTGGTTGAGGGATGCGCTAAGCCTATTACCAAATAGATTACAACTGCGTGCAATATCTGCCGAGCTAGGCTGTGGGTGTGAAAAAGTCGATGGGTAAAAGACCTAGAACGAAAGTATGAAACTCGGTCCAATAGATAACTTTAGGATTCCTGAATGAGATAAGCACAGCCGACGGTTGTAAACACTGAGTAATGGGGTGAAGTACCACTCGAGCTTTTTCTCAATCACATGGGAAATCTGGCCCCGAAGAATCCTTCTTTTTCACACCCAAATCTTCTTTCTTCTATCATATCATCCAAATGGGCAACCAAAACCACCGCCATGCTTATTGGTTGTATAAACTGGAAGGAATGTTCTCATACCAGTACGGTCAAATGGAGAATAGTGGCACTAGATCCATTTATGGTTCTTATCTTATCTCTATACAACCTGCATTTCCACCTTTCGATAAAATGCAACAGAAAACCTGCGTTTGCCATGCTACCATTCACCCAAAACTGATTCACTATTATGAGACGTGATCATTATTATTACCACTGGCCCCGCACTTGACATAACAGGAATAACTAATCACTCAATACGATGCTGTTGCTTGGACTATAAGCGGTTGACGCAGCTAGCATAAGGCAGTTGTAACGGTTTGATCATGTTCTGAATGGACAACCAAAACCGGGGCACAAAGATGCATGGTGATAGTTGTACACACCGAAACTGAAACCGATGAGCTACGAAACACGACAGGCGACTCCCTGCCCGCTGATCGTGCCCCGAATGAAACTGTCACTGTGATGAACGGTAATCGGTGCTGAGTGAGACGCCAATAGTCTAGGCTTCCCAATTGTCTTCCGTCTACGTCGATTGAACTAAGACCGTTGCTTGTGGGTGATATCCATTAAATCGGCACATTCCTTAGAGAGAGTTATCTCTGCAAGTGTGTAAATTAACAAACTAAAAGATTTGTTTTAAAAACAAAAAAATATTTATTAGAAGAACGGATGATAGTGGTGTACAAAAAGTGAATTATTGGAAAGATTTACACAATGTTATGAAGATCTGGAAATGAAGACAAGCCGAGGCACAATAAAGGGTAGAAATGCATGTGGTAAAGATAAAATACGTATTTAACCCGAGAATTTCCATATACAAACCAAATTGTTGTCTGTAACTGCAACGAGGTACTGGCCATCGTGACTCAAATCTGTCGTGTTGACGACAGGATTTTTGAAACCGGAAGTTATGCTTTCTTTCAGCTGCACATCTTCATCCTTACTTCCCCCAATGCTGCACTCGGGCCATTCGAGTATCTGAAAACCAAACGAAGAATATGCAGTCGATCGTTTAACGTGTTTATTGATTCGGATAGAAACACAAGTTAATTAAGAACCGAAGGGAAAACTTCCCCGAAAAAAACTGCACTGGAAAGCTGGAAAGCACTGCACAGCTTTTCCAGCCTTGTTTAGTTTCGTAAACAGTGCGCACCAAAAAGCGAAACAATGCAGAGTCCAAATGTGTCACGACTTATTACTACGGAAAAAATTGGCAACATAGGAAATACGCGTCTTTGCCGATGTACTGTGTATTTGATCAATGAAAGCATCCTGACCATAGTTTTAGGAAAAAGTTATCACGTGAAACTTGATCTTAGATCTTGGTAAATGGTTTTCAGAAACAAGGTACAAAGAACGGGATATTTCAATCATAAGGAGAACCTGTGGACAACATAGCATTAAGTTAATCTGTGCATTGACAAATCATAAATTTTTAGCTTGGTGAATGACTTTTGGGTTGGAAATGCACAATATTCGCAGAGACTGGTTAGAGAAAAGCGAAAGCACCAAAGATACAGAGTGAAGGTATAAATATAGTGGCCGCGCTACTACTTTCAGAAATCGTTGAAGATGGGATGCGATTGTCAACCATTTATTTAATACAAAGCTGGTATTAAGGAAAATCACCCTGTAGGACTAACGAGAGCGCCGTAGGCTTTAACAGCAACCAGGTAAAGGGTACGAATGTGTTGCAAAACAGGTTGACGAGCGTGAACGACGTGAAAAAATGGATTGGAAAAAGCTTCGAGCAGGATAGGAAACATCTGGCTGTTTCTCGTCGGGGTTAATTCCGAAAACAATAGTTTGCAGATCCAAAACTACATGTTGAGACTAACACGCCGTTGATATTAAAACTAAACAATAACCCATAGGTACAACACTGGAATGGAGATCAATTGTAGAATGCGCCACTCACCTTCACTGGTTTCGCCTTAAATCGGCGAGCATCTTCGTCAATTTGCTTTTGTAAATCGTACAGCCATATGGTTCCCTCGTTATCTCCGCAAACCACAGCGTTCAAACCCGGACGAGCTGTTACATTAATGTAAATTTCGTCTGTAGTTTGCCAACGAAGCTGGCCACGAAGCTCGACTGTGACAAGTTTCTTGCCGGAAGACAAACGTTTTGAGCGTTGCACAACCTGAAAAACAAATAATTGTATAGATATGGTAAAGAAAATTCACTTTTTAATAGCATCATGAACATCGAAATTTCCGCATGCTAACCGCGAACAAAAAGTAGATGAGTATTTGCGTTAAAGATATGATGGCCTTCACATAAGTAATGAAACGCTCAAGCTACGGGAAAAATATTGGATTCACATTATTGTCCTCAATAGGTATGCTTTGAAACTAACCACCAAAAAGATCATCCCGGATACCAAAAGGCTGCACCCCAGAGATTTACCGGGTATAACGTTTTCAGGGGCCACAGGAGTGCTCACAAACCGAAGGATTTGTAAAGCGCAGTCTGTGGAAGAATACTGTCGAAGGAAAAATTTGCAATTCTCTCTTTCTAATCTGTACTGAATACTGAGACTAGGAAAAAGTCGGTTAAATAATGCAATATCACTGTCAGGAACGCTATCTAGAACAGTGGGAGTGTTTGAGCCGGCCATCATTACCGAAAATCCTGCATAGTGCTGCTGAAAAAGCAGTACTGCAATCTGTACCAGCCCTTCGCTTTAAATGATAGAGTTAGGTAGGATATTAGACAGCCAAGTACAGTAAAAGCTACAACTACCCACAGTTTAGGAAACGGGGTTGATGCAATGCTTTGCAACACGTGTTTTCAGATGGAATCATTCAGTGAATAGCATTTGCCGAATTGGATATTGATCCGTCAAAAGTCGATTCATACAAGAGAAAACCCGAAAGGGAAAAAAACAAGTCAACGGATCAGATACCAAAAGACCTACCCAATCTATGGCTATACACATCGTGCAAACATGGCCAATGAAGTTGGGGTACCGCAAACACATCACATTCATGTTGTTTTATACCTTTCACTGGCATTAAATTTTATCTGAATGAAATTTTTACTTCCTTCGGTTCTTATATAAACTGTTAAGCCGGTGACCAAAAAGAGCAAAAGTATGCGAGACAGAGAGGGACCAAACTGAAGTAGAGGAAAGGAAATGGATCAGAAATAAACCAAGGGCACGATGGTTGCAGTTTAACTCATTTCAGCTTTTTACTAAGATCGAGCTGAATGATTAACACTTAACACGCTTACCATGAGAAACAGTTACTGAACAAAATATGTGCATACAGAAATGTGTGCAGAATCATAGTTCACTAGCTCTAAAATAAATGAAGAACAGTGTTTCACATCGAAAGTAATTCGAAGTTGCTCACAAAAATGCGTTTGCTAACAGAAAAACAAACCTGTGCATAGTCGAACACGTAAATCTCGCCTTCCTCAACGCACTTGACTACCACAAGTTGTTCTGTGAGTTTGGCCAATCCATCAAAGCACGGTTCACATCGGGTAGGAATTTTTATTTCTAGGTCCGCGATTCTTTAGAAGAAATAACGAGAATAGAAGTTTCCGATAAGTGCTATGAGATCTGACTACATCACACAGTAAGGAAATGATTAATAACATACTGAGTTCTCCTAACGATACAACGTTAATAACGCTAAGCAATGATAACCGGACATGGTGAACCTTAAAATTCCGACAGGCAGATCAACAGAAGACATACCTCTCTTCATTGAGTTTTTCTTTACGGAACTCCGGCAAGTTCCAAGAGAACACACCATCTTCACATCCAGCGAGAAGTACATCGAACTTGGGTAAGAAGACCAGATTCAAAACTGGGTTCAAGTTGGCTCGCGGGCAAACCAAACGCATAAGGAGTTGGTGACGCGTGCGATATTCGGGAGCTGAGGGAATGCCAATATCCCAGACAAGAACGCATGCCTAAGAGGAAATACCGGAGCGGAGATTGAACGATCGCATATGCAGCGCTAATAGGAATTGTATAACTTGAGTGAAATAAGTATTTCACTGTGGACGACTAACGACATTTTCAGGATAAAACTTTGGATATGACGTTAGCAATGGACTGTGCAATGTAGACGTATGGAGCAAAGTTACCGGTTAGGGAAAATAACCGTGATTGGAGTAAACACATCTAATTTTAGTCACCGACATCTAGTCAACTACTTAGGAAAATGGTGAAGACAAGAAGATAGAAAAACAAACATGCACTATACTCAGGGCTCATCTGAGTGGACGAAAAAGAAATAAACCCGTAAGCGTCCCCTGAGGCTTCCCTAAATCATACGGGTAACAGGTGGAAATGGTAGCGCTTGCTCGCTGACCAGCCCTGTAAAC